GCGCTACTTCCTGCTGGTGGTTGACGACTACTCGCGTTACACCACAGTCTTCCCTTTGCGCAGCAAAGGTGATGTCACTGAGGTGTTGATCGACTGGATCCGCGCAGCTCGTCTCCAGCTCAGGAGGAGCTTCGGCTCGGACTTTCCTGTTCTGCGTCTGCACTCTGACCGAGGCGGAGTGTTCTCCTCTGGCCTTCTGCGAGCCTACTGTCGTGCGCGAGGCATCCGCCAGACCTTTACGCTTCCGAACTCTCCACAGCAAAATGGGATTGCTGAGCGCCGCATTGGCATGGTCATGGACGTCGCTCGTACGTCCATGATGCATGCGGCTGCCCCCCATTTTCTGTGGTCGTTTGCGGTTTGGTACGCTGCGCATCAGATCAACCTTCACCCCAGGGTCTCCAGGCCGGAGACCTCCCCAGCCTTGCTGTGGACGGGGAAGGTCGGCGATGCGTCTGCGTTCCATGTCTGGGGATCTCGGGTGTTTGTCCGCGACTTGTCTGCGGACAAGCTGTCCCCCCGTGCTGCTCCCTGTGTCTTCCTTGGCTTCCCCACTGACGCCCCTGGGTGGCCGTTCTACCACCCCTCCTCTCGTCGTGTTCTGTCCTCCCAGGACGTCACGTTCGACGAGTCCGTCCCCTACTACCGTCTCTTACCCTACCGCACTCCTTCCCTCCCCCCGCCGCCGCACTTCCTTGTGCCAGGTCCCCCTCAGGTAGACCCCCTCCCCCCTCAGGGTCCTGCCCCTTCAGGTGTGTCCCAGGTAGACGCAGTCGGGCCGGTCGAGGTTGTTGGTGACTCTGGTACTGCTGCGGGTGCTGAGCCTGGGGGTGCTGACTCTGGGGGTGCTGCACGAGGGGGTGCTGAGCCTGGGGGTGCTGAGACTAGGGGTGCTGAGCCTGGGGGTACTGCGACTGGGGGTGCGGAGCCTAGGGGTGCTACGACTGGGGGTGCTGAGCCTAGGGGTCCTTCGCCTGGGGGTGCTGCGTCTGGAGCTGCTGAGCCTTGGGGTGCTAAGTCTGGAGCTACAGAGCCTGGGGGTGCGGAGCCCGCGGCCGCTGGACCTGCTTGTGTGGCGTCTGGCGGTGCTGGGCCTGGTGGTTCTCCGGGTGCTTCGTCTCGGCGGGAGCCACTCTCTCCACAGGAGCTGCGCGAGTGGTTTGCCGGCGCTGGAGGCGTACTACTGGAGCTGGTGCTTCTTCGGCTGCTGAGGGTGCTGGTGCCGCCGGTCTCGGAGGTGCTAGTCCTGCGAGTGCTACTGGAGTCGGAGCTGCTGAGGGTGTTGGCGCAGAGGCTACTGCTGTCAGTCCTGGCAGCGGTCCTGCTGCGGGTGATGCTGGTGCTGCTGGAGGTACTGGAGCTGGAGGTGCTGTTGACGCTGGTGCTGCTGCTGGGGGTGCTGGTGCTGTCCCTGCTGTGTCTGGAGTCGCCGCGCGGCCTCGGCCGTACTTTGTTCCGCTCCTTCAGCAGGTTCTTGGTCTTCCTCCTCCCTTAGAGTGTCCACCGCCTGTCCAGTCACAGTCACAGTTACCGCCGGCCTCCCCACTGCCTTCTCCTTCTCCGTACACTGGTCCTACTGGAGGTCTTGCTGAGCGTCGTGAGCCTGCGTCTCGTCCTTCGTCGCCTGTTCGTGATGCTCGCACTAGTGGTCGCAGTTCGCGTCAGCGTCCTCCTCCTGTCCCTGGCACGCACCGGATGTCTGTGCGTCCGTCCACTGCTCCTCTGCGTGCCCCTTTGCCCTCTCCTCCTAAGTCCTCTCTTCCTGCGCTTGCCGACCCTGAGTCGGACTCTCTTCGTGCTACCAGTCTTACTGTCACGCGTCTCCTTGCTACTGTCGTCACTGACCCCTCCTTTGAGTCCACTGTTGCGTCTGCTCTTGTGGCTGAGCTCGTCGACTTTGCTGCTAGCTGTCGTCTAGACTACGCTGCTACTCTTGTTGCTGAGTCTGAGTGTGTCTGTCCTCCGTCCGTCGGGGGTGAGTGTGCTCTTGGCACGGACGTCCTTGAGGACAGGCAGGAGGAGTTCCAGTGTCTGGCTGCTGCTTCACCTCATCTCGCGTCCGTACTGCTTACCCCTGAGGGAGACCCGGATGCACTAGACATCCCGACTCCGCGCTCTTACGCGGAGGCCATAGAGGGCCCCTACTCCTCTCAGTGGCAGGCAGCTATGGATGCAGAGATGGCTTCCTGGAAGTCCACAGGCACCTACGTTGACGCGGTTCCCCCTCCTGGGGCGAACATCGTCAGTGGCATGTGGATCTTCAGGGTGAAGCGGCCGCCGGGCTCTCCACCTTTCTTCAAGTCGCGGTACATGGCTCATGGCTTCAGTCAGCGGCAGGGAGTTGTCTACTTTCAGACCTTCTCTCCCACCCCGAAGATGACCACTCTTCGGGTGCTGCTACACATAGCCGCTCAGCGTGACTACGAGCTACACTCCCTTGACTTCAGCACTGCTTTCCTGCAGGGTAGCCTGCACGAGGAGATCTGCTTGTGCCGTCCACTTGGCTTCACTGGGACTTTCCCTCCTGGCACCCAGTGGAGCCTCCGACGGCCAGTCTACGGTCTCCGCCAGGCACCGCGCGAGTGGCACGACACACTGAGGACTACACTTGCGGCTCTTGGGGTTTGCTCCCTCTACTGCTGACCCGTCGCTGTTTCTACGCACCGACACCTCTCTGCCGCGCTCTACATCCTCGTGTACGTCGACGACTTGGTCTTTGCCACAGCTGACAACTGCTGGACTCGCCCACGTGAAGTCCGAGCTGCAGAAGAGACACACGTGCACATACCTGGGTGAACTGCGCAGCTACCTTGGCTTGCAGATCACCCGGGACAGAGCACGCCGCACCATCACCCTGACTAGTTCACACATGGTGCAGCAGGTCCTTCAGCGCTTCGGCTTCACGTACTCCTCGCCTCAGGCCACTCCTCTGTCTACTCGCCACTCGCTCTCAGCTCTTCCTTCGGATGAGTCCGTAGAGTCGAGTGGCCCGTACCCAGAGCTTGTTGGCTGCCTCATGTACCTGATGACCTGCACACGACCTGACCTTGCATACCCTCTTAGACATTCTTTCACGCTATGTTGCTCCTGGGAGACACAGACCAGAGCACATGGCTGCAGCGAAGAGGGTGTTGCGCTACTTGTGCAGTACGTCGGGCATGGGGGCTAGTTATTGGAGGGTAGAGTCCAGTGGTCCTCACTGGGCACGCGGACGCTTCTTTGGGCAAACGACCAGGCTACGCAGCGGTCGTCCACAGGGTTACACCTTCAGCCTTGGTTCCGGCTCTGTTTCGTGGCGGGCTACTCGCTCGTCTTCTGTTCTTTGGCTCCAGTTGTGAGGCCTGAGATCTACGCCGGGGCCATGGCTGCACAAGAGCTTCGCTGGCTTACCTACCTGCTGACTGACCTCGGAGAGCCGCCTCGTTCTCCTCCGGTGCTGTACGTAGACAACAAGGGCCATGCTAGCCTTGTGTCGGGAGCAGCACCTGGAGCACAGAACAAAGCACATTGCCCTCCGCTACTTTCTTGCTTGTGAGCTGCAGCAGCGTGGTCAGTTGCGACTTGCGTACGTGGCCTCTGAGGCCAACACTGCTGATGTTTTCACCAAGGCACTTCCGCCTTGTGATCATCAGCGCTTCTGCACTCAGCTGGGTCTTGTGCCTGTCTTGCCTCACTTGCTGACCTCTTGATCTTGCTTGTACTCTTACATATATATATACCTGCTCTTGCTTGTTTAGTCTTATATATATATGTGCACTCCTGCATGTGAACTGGCCTTGTGGCTTTGACCTTGTGCTCGGACTGTGTGGTGACGTTGTGATCCACCCTGAGCTTTGCCTTGCTGTGCTTGACTGGTCTTGTGACCCTTGTTCTCTTTTATTTTGTCAATGGGGGTGTGTCAAATTATAATATTGTGTAGGCTATAGTGGGGTAGTCTATATGGGGTACACATTTCTAGGGTTGCATATTTATATCACTCTCATTCCTTAGTCAATCCATTCTCGTTCTACTTTCCTCACCGAATTCTCCCGGACATAACACCCTAGGGTAGATCTAAAAATACAGGGAAAAAAAGGGGGGTGTCTTCTCATAGGAAAAAGCTACATAATACCCGGGTGCATATAGATGGTATATTTTAGTGTTAGTTTTTTTTTTATTAGAGAAGTTGAGTGTTACCATGGGCTTTTAAAGGCCAAACCCCGAATTACTCAAAGCTGGTCAACTCGGTAAAACCTAAGTTCGGGAGGAGGTTGGGGAATGGTTCGGAACAAAAGCGAACCCAATGATTCGCGAAAAGAATGGGCGAAAGCAAAGTGAATCGCAACACTGGGCCCCAAGCAACCGCCCCAAACTGGAAAGTCAATGCCTTTGCTGAATTACCGTCACGCCACCAAACTGTCATCACTTTTGGGCACAGCCCCAAGCAGGTGGGGATCCCTCGACGTGGTTCGGCAGAGGAAGGTGCGGGAGGCACAGTGTCACCAGTTTGCTTTTGACTTTGTAATTCGGGCTTTGGGCTTTAAACATCACATGTTAAGGCGCGAATGCCAGTTTCGACGCGAACGTCATCAACCCCTCGAAAATGTCATTTGGCACCCCCCCGGCCACATGCAGCGGAAGATTCTCCAGTACGTGGCGACAGCGAAATAGTGGGCGGGGGGGAATCTCGGCAGATTTGATGTGAAAGAAAAGAGAAATTCCATCGAGCGAGGAATTTTTCGCGATATATTTCCATATTTGCACCTACTCGTTAACAGCTATAATATAGAATCAGTAAGATAAGGGGGGTGTTATAAAAATCATCCAAAAAGAGGGGTATAGTGAAATCGAGGTCTTCCATAGCATCCACCCTGCACAAGCTACCCGGGGGTGCTCTATCATTGGGGGGTGTTTTGTCCAAAATACGGTAGCAGATGTTGACTACCAAAAACTACCATTATAGCTTATCTCCAAAAATATGCATTTCGTTTCGTTTTCTTCACCCAAATTTTCCACATCACCTATTGCCGCCCACTTTTCTCTTTCACAACCTCCACCACCTCCTCCCCATCGCTCTCCCCATCACTCTCCCCCCCACTCTCCCCCCCGTCACTCTCACATCCCAGACACCACTCCACGCGTCTCGGCACGCTTGCTCCTTTCCGCCGCCCCGCCGGCTCTTTTCCTCGGCGGCAGCCATGCGCTGCAGCACGGCCTTGTTGGGCGCCAGTACCATGTGCATCGACCGCCCCTCCAGATGCGCCTTCGACTCCACGATCGCCAGCTGCAAGGGGGAGTGGGAAAGACATGAGTAGAAGAGGCACGCGCATTAAGGTGAGGGGGGTGAATGTGGCCTTGTTGCGCGCTGGCACCTATGTGCACCGATCGCCCCTCCAGATGCGCCTTCGACTCCACTATCGCCAGCTGCAGGGAGGGAGCAACAGGGCAGAGGGAAGAAGGTGAGTGGTCAAGAGTGTGCCCACAGGTGAAGGCAACACAGCCCACACCATGCTATTTGCTCACCTCAGCCACACCATGCTCTCACCTCAGCCACACCATGCTCTCACCTCGGCCACACCATGCTCTCACATCCAGCCACACCATGCTCTCACCTCAGCGACGTCGTGTTGGAACTTCTCAAAGAGCTTCACCCCCAGCTCCTTGAACTCCATCTCGCGCCCTCTGAACTGCGCCGTCAGCTTCACCTGCCCTCCCACACACACTCCGAAGGCGGGAGTGGAAAGGTGGAGAGAGGGGCAGAAAAGGAGGAAGGGCAGACCGGCAAGGGAGGGGGAGAAGGGACAGATGAGGAATGGGGAAACATATGCGGAAAAGTCTTTTGTAGCTCTTATTTTGCCGTACACAGTATCCCATCATTCTTCACATCGTTATCCCCACCATGCATCACCCCTTCTCCCCACCATGCATCACCCCTTCTCCCCACCATGCATCACCCCTTCTCCCCACCATGCATCACCCCTTCTCCCCACCATGCATCACCCCTTCCCGATATGCATCACACCCCCTTCCCCATATGCACCACACCCCTTCCCCATATGCACCACACCCCTTCCCCAGATGCACCACACGCCTTCCCCAGATGCACCGCACCTTATCGCCATCATGCACCGCACCTTATCGCCATCATGCACCGCACCTTATCGCCATCATGCACCGCACCTTATCGCCATCATGCACCGCACCTTATCGCCATCATGCACCGCACCTTATCGCCATCATGCACCGCACCTTATCGCCATCATGCACCGCACCTTATCGCCATCATGCACCGCACCTTATCGCCATCGTGCAGGAATTTGAGCGCCTGCTTGAGGCGCACGTTGTAGTCCCCCGTGTCAATGTTGTACCTGGGGAGGACCAGTGGGGAGGGGGTGGAGGGTCGGGGAAGGCACAAGCAGAGTGAAAGCACTGATGCCTCACGTCACTCACAATTGGGTCGCACCTTGTAATCGCCCGTGTCGATGTTTTACCTGGGTGGGAGGGGGGAGGAGGGAGGAGAGGGGGAACGCACAAGGAGAGTCAAGGGGCGATTGCCTCGAATGCTGCAAATGCCTCACACTCACTCACTCTCACAGGTATGTCGGCACGACAAGTGGACGCATGCCTTACTAGACAAATGGCCGGAGCAGGGAAGGGGTTGGGTGGGGAGGGGCGATGGGCGAGAAGAAAGTTGCAGGAGGGAAAAGTGGAGGAGGGGAAAAGGGTAGAGAAGCTGTGGGGAAGGGAAGTGAGAGTGTGCGTTCTCAACGTCAACATGCAAACTTTTTCTCAACTAAGCAATCCAAGGTTGACATGCAATCCCAAGGTGGACATGCAATCCCAAGTTGACATGCAATCCCAAGGTGGACATGCAATCCCAAGGTTGACATGCAATCCCAAGGTTGACATGCAATCCCAAGGTGGACATGCAATCCCAAGGTTGACATGCAATCCCAAGGTTGACATGCAATCCCAAGGTTGACATGCAATCCCAAGGTGGACATGCAATCCCAAGGTTGACATGCAATCCCAAGGTTGACATGCAATCCCAAGGTGGACATGCAATCCCAAGGTTGACATGCAATCCCAAGGTGGACATGCAATCCCAAGGTTGACATGCAATCCCAAGGTGGACATGCAATCCCAAGGTGACATGCAATCCCAAGGTTGACATGCAATCCCAAGGTCTGAGAATTCTAAAAATTTGCTCACAGAGATGAAGGGTTGGCACGAACGAGGGAGTGAGTGAGGAAGTGAGTGAGTGAGTGAGGGAGGGAGGGAGTGAGGGAGTGAGGGAGTGGGGAGCTGACCGCATGTTGAGCTCCTGTCGGCATGTCCTTGATAATACAAAGAAATGGATTACAGGGATGGAAGAAGGGCTGGATTGGCACGAGTGAGGGAGTGAGAGGGTGAGTGAGGGAGCTGACCGCATCTTGAGTTCCTTGAGCTCCTGGCGGCTGGCAGCAGCCTTCTTCTGCTGCTCGCGCTTCTTCTTCTGCTGCTCGTACCGGAACTTGCTGTAACGAGGATGAAACAGGTGGGACGGGATGAGGCAGTAAACAAGCAGAAGCAAGACAGAGTATGATTGCTTACCAGAGAGAGGCTGAGGGAGGGAGCTGAAGGTAAACAGCACACACAAACGAGCACACAAACGAGCACACAAACGAGCACACAAACGAGCACACAAACGAGCACACAAACGAGCACACAAACGAGTGCATACTCACATACACCAGACGCAATCACTGAAATGTCAGTACGCCTCCTACACAAACAGCCCATGTGAGTGGGTGAGGTGAGCACTGAGCGTTCACCTGTAGTCCATGATTCGTGCCACAGGCGGCTTGGCATCCGCTGCTATCATCACCTGCTCTCACCCCCGCATGCATGGCACGCAAGGGCGGGGCAGGGCAGGGGAGAGGAGGGGAAGGGAGGGGAGGGGAGGGCAGGGGAGGGGAGGGGAGGGGAGGGGAGGGGAGGGGAGGGGAGGGCAGGGGAGGGCAGGGCAGGGGAGGGCAGGGGAGGGCAGGGGAGGGCAGGAGAGGTTAGGGGAGGGTAGGGGTGTTAGTGTTAGCCTTCAATCTCACATTTTGTACTTGTACTTTATATATCCTAGTTTAGTATACTTTGCACTTGTGTTTGGTTGGGTGTACGCCCACATCCCAACCAGACTCAAATGTGATCTGCAAGCAATCTCCAACCCACTAGTTGGGAATTGCCTTGGGATTACCCCAATCTCTAGATATTGCCCCCGATTCCCTCCCCATCCATTTCTTGCTCATTGTGGATGTACTTAAAGAGCTTCAAGCTCATTACTAATTCATAGATTCTAAGCTCAAGTTCTGACCAGGGGGGGCAGGGGAGGGCACGGGAGGGCACGGGAGGGCAGGGAGAGCAGGGGAGGGCGGGGAAGGGCAGGAGAGGTTAGGGGGGGGTTAGGGGAGGGTAGGGGAGGGCAGGGAAGGGCAGGGAAGGGTAGGGGAGGGAGGGGGGGGGGGGGGCAGGGGAGGGTAGGGGTGGGAGGGGAGGGGAGGGGAGGGGAGGGGAGGGGAGGGGAGGGGAGGGGAGGGCAGGGAGGGAGGGCAGGGGAGGGCAGGAGAGGGTAGGGGAGGGCAGGAGAGGGTAGGGGATGGTAAGGGAGAGCAGGGGAGGGTAGGGGAGGGTAGGAAAGGGCAGGGAAGGGCAGGGGAGGGTAACGGAGGGAGGGCAGGGGAGGGTAACTGAGGTGGGGCAATGAAAGCGGAAGAATGAGCGAATGGAGAAGCAATCACGGGCTCTCCCAACGGGACAGCAGCAACCACTCACCAGGTTCAACTCTGCAACCCTACCTCTGGGTGGAATCGCAGCAGCACACCCCAGCACATCCCAGCACACCCCAGCACACCCCAGCACACCCCAGCACACCCCAGTACACCCCAGCACACCCCAGTACACCCCAGCACGCCGCAGCACGCCGCAGCACGCCTCATCACATCACAGAACGCCTCAAAACTCCCCAGCACCGGCTCACCAGGTCAAGCCCCGCCTCTCGGGCCTTGGAGAGCGCCTCCTCTCTCGATACTATCCCCAGCTGCTCTCATGCTCGCTCGCACAGACGGGCACGCACAGGCAGGCAGGCAGGCAGACAGGCACAGGCAGAGGGAGCGGGAAAGGGAGAAAGAGAGGGGCGAGTGGAAGGCACAGTGAGTTTCAGTCAGGAACAGGAGAGGAGAGGAACGGCCACGACTACAGCCATGGCTCAAGTTAGTCACAGCGGCAGGTAATAAAAAAGGGCGACGGTGAGACTAGGAGATGGGAGGCGCAGCGCGAGAGAGAACAAAGATGTACACCTACAATAACTCGAGAAGGACTCCTTGTTCAATGCTCTTGTTCTCTCGCTCGCCTACACTACGCGAAGAAAGCAGCAAGTGTGCATTGACAGAGGTCAAAGGGGCGCCAAGGAGAATCCCTCCGAGCAGCCACGCGGTGCTGCTGCACTCACCAGAGCCTGGTCCTCTGCCAGCAGCCGCAGCGTGGGCACCCTGCCACGTGGAGGGACGGATGGATGGGTGCAGAATGGTTTGGCATACGGGGTACGTAGATACATGTTGCATGGTGGATGGTGGATGGTGGATGGTGCATGGTGGATGTTACATGGTTACTGGTGGATGGTGCATGGCGAATCGACTCGACTAGTGACTGGCATGTGGCGACTAGTGAGCCGACTCGACTCGACTAGACTCCACACACGCAATCGATTCGCACATCAAAATGAAAACGCGGTGCGAACATGGTGACCGTTAGGTCGGTTAGGCTCGACTCGCGATGGCCAGGTCGTTCGCGTTGCGGCAGAGCGAACGCTGCGAGATCGTCGTCGGCAAAGGAGGGAAGTCTCTTTTAAGAACATCGTGATTCTCAAAAGTGATATCAACATTGTCGGCAATGGAGGGGATTTTCTTACCGCGACCCACACGGACCCCCCACACGCGCACCCGTCGTGATCACAGTGCTTCGCGCGACCCCCCACACCCGAGCATTAACCCCCCGCACCCAATCCCCTCACACTCTGAATCGGATATAGTTCGACGAACCACTTCAACAACACGCACGAGCCGCGTCGAAACAGCGCGTCGAGTCAACCTTCGCGTTCCAAGGCGCCTCAAAGACACCCTCGCGACGCGTCAAGATAGCGCACCGTGCCACGGCTCAGACGCCTGCAGCTGCTCTCGCCGACAGCTCGCGCGTCGTGTGCGGCGAAATGCACGCACAGGTGACCGCTTTAATCCGCTCCGCCTCAAATCTGCTGCGCAAACTAAAGCCTACGTTGAGACGCATCGGACCGAACTTTCCACAATCCATGCTAACCAAACGGTCTCCAATGGGACGCGTCGCGACAGCCCCGAGGCAAGCGATCCACGGGCTACGATGCATTGCGCTCCAGAGGCTGCATTGCCCCCCTTCCCCCCCCCGCCACCTCCCCACCTCTCTCCCCCCCCCCCCCCCCGTCGCTCACGGCTTGCCTTCTAATCTAATCAAGCCTGGGAAGTTTCACCTAACGTCAGGGATCCTTCTTATTATTGCTTATCTAGCACGGCTGTTGGCATGCGATTCGACTCACCTGTCCACCATTCACCTGCACTCCGTCTCATCTGATCTACTGTTCACCTGCGGTCCGTCGATATTAGTGTTCATCTGCAGTGCGAATCACCTGCTTTCAGTTCACCTGCGGTCCGTCTCACCTGATATCACTGTTCATCAGCGGTCCGTCCTTATCCTCCGTCTGTTGCTGCTGCCGTCTCATCGGCGGCCGTTGCGACGGCCGCGCACCAGCGGGCCGCGGCCGCGCGCCTCCCGCCCTCGCCGTCACCTCTAAGCGCGCCGAGCGGTTGCCTCCGTGCGGCCAGCCGTGACTGGGCCCGCGCCCGCCGACGAGATCAGCGGAAACTCGCGACACAGAGTGGCGTATACCGGCTGGTGGTAACCATGTTAAGGACGAAGGCTGGCTCGCGGGAGTTCTGAGAGTGGCGGTGGGCTCTGGACGAATGGTGGCGAGACGCGTTGCTCCGATGTGAGTCAATGCTGACGCCATGACTGGGACGGCGAGATCACTGGACGTCAGCGGTAATCCAAACAGATTGGTAATATCTAGGGTTGCTGCAATTGAAACGAGAAGCAGGCTGCTCTAATAATATCTGAAGAGAAACAGCAGACAGCTTGCGCTAGTATTTCAGACAAATCACCATGTAGCTGCAGGACAGATCACTATGGGACATGCAACCGGGAGATTCTAGATCAATCATGCGCGAAATGAGTATCAGAGGTTTATCCAAACGAGAAAGGGAGGCGGTGGGGGACGTTGCAGGAGAAATCTGTACTCGATAGAAGGATCGTGTGGAGGGTGTCTCGTGGGTTGAAATGACGTGGCTGCACGCTAGTGCTGTACGTGGAATTGTTTGGAGTTCAACGTTGACGTGTGATGTGAATGTGTGAGACCTATGGTGTCTCACTTAACCTTCTGTAACCTTCACATACCATAGTTGCAGCATTATACTTGAGGATCAATTCAATATCGTATCCTTTATTCCGTAGTGAATCTATGAAAACACTAGTATGTACAGAATGTTTTTTCTATTTCTTACCGTCATTTCACAAAGTTACAAAATGTATCTGAACGAATTATAGGTGCTTTTCCTTTCCGTGCTGGATTTCACATCGCGGATATGAAGGGCGGTTGACCCGCTGTACCACGTCAGCGCCGAAGAGCCCAGCACTGGCCAGCCCAGTCGCTGCGGTCAAGTCTCAGATTTCCCTCAGGCTTCCCCTGGTTCGTTCGCCTGGCGCAGTCAGTCCTGCGAAGTCGTGGCACCTGGTACTCGTCAAGCAGTCGCATAAGGGGATATACTTACACGTGGCAGCTCTGTTTTCGCGAACCCCGTTCCTGCCGAGTCCAGCGAAAGTTGAGAGCAGTCAGAGGTGGTGCTGGCGACTCCACGGCCTCGTTGTTACGTATCGCAGCGAATTCCACCAAGGCAATGAAATGCGCTGTTTCGCGGATACCAAAGAACGAGGAGTGAATTCGACATTTGCTGCGCTGGAGTCGTTGCGAGGCGAAATTGGCTCGACTGACTGCCAGCAATGCATGGGGTTTCTTGCTGCTGCTTGTCTACCTCTTCCCCCTCATCCCTCTTGGCACCCACAATTCAAAACCCGAGGCTTGGCTTTCTGAATCCATTACCTCTTTAGAGTAAGCAAGGGCGAACGTAGAGCACATTAGAAGCAGCCTCTTTCAAAGGGATCACCTGTGGATTGCACGCGGAGCAGAAAGCACAGAACCTTCTGCCGAGTGCCATAGCGTTTCTTCACGAGGGACAAAGAAAGGCTCGCAACCGTTGTTAGTGTACGTCTCACTAGGGCACTGCTCTGCTAGGTTAGTCGTCATCATGGCGTCCGCACGGGTCGCGGTCGTCCTCCTGCTCGTCGCATGCGCTCTCCAGTCCGCCGCAGGTCGCGGAAGGTTCTTCCCGAGCCAGTACTACACTACAGGGCGGCGCGGCGAACCCATTCCGGCGCGCGCGGCGCGCAGGCACAGCATTCAGCACCGCACGAGCCACCAGCTGCGCCCAACCATCGCGCACCAGCACCATCTCCGCGCGGCCTCGAGCCCCGATCTTCCGCCTCCGCCTTCCCCCCCTTCCGCCACCACTCCGCCCATCCAAGTCGTCCGCTTCGCGCGCAGGCGGCTGCCGCGCCCAGAAACTCGCCGAGTCCGGAACTCGCGAGCCAGGATGCTCGTTACGAGCCACGCACCGAGGCTCGTCCGCAGGCCCGGTCATGAGGCAAGGCTCGGCGGAGGGCCGAGGTTCCGTCCGCGCGAGCTTCTAGCGGACAGCGATGGTGGTACTATCAAGTTTGACCGTAGCACGGGGCAGAAAGTGAAAGTATTCGATGGGACTGACCGAGACGGCGACGAGGTGGAAATTCTCGAAGAGGTTCCTCGCGCCTCCTCCAGCGCCGGTCCGGCCTACGACAGCATGCAGCGGCTCGGCCGTCCGCGTCATGGCCGCCACGGTAGTCGGGCGCCTCGACAGCACAGTGTGGTTCGATACAGTAACCCGATGTTGGACTCTATAGCGGAGCAAAACGCGAAGATGGGAGGCCCCCCGGGAGGGATTTTGGCGGGATACACTGACTCAGGATCAGGTTCGGACGGTGGTTCGGTGAGTGAGGAGAGCGCAGGCGGTGATTGGCCGATGCTGGACGCCATAGATGAGCAAAACGGCAGGATGGGAGGCTCGGAATATGGCTCGGACGGCGGCTTCGAAGGAGGCTGGGATGGTGGCTTGGAAGGAGGTTCGGAAGGAGAGTCGGTTGACGGGTCAGATGGAGGTTGGGAAGATGGTTCGGATGAATTTTGGGAAGATTTTTCGGGCTCGAACTGGTACGACGGCTCGGATGCAGGCTGGGATGACGGCTCGGGTGGAGTCTGGGATGATGGTTCCGGAGGATGGCTGGGACGATGGTTCGGACGGAGGTTGGGACGACAGCTCGGAGGGAGGCTGGGACGATGGTATGGGAGGTTGGGATGATAGCAGCAGCGATGGCAACAGCACATGGGAGGGCGACTACGGGAGTGACGACTACGGGAGTAACGACTATGGGAGTGGAGGTGACGAGTATTTCGCTGAACCTTCCGATGCAGAGGACTCGCTTTATCCCAGTGGCGGCGACTATTACACTGCTGACAGTGCCGACAGCACTGCCGCACTCAAGCCCATGGTCCCTCGCACTGCTGCTACTCGCCGCCCGCCACGCGCCATGGCACGTCCCACGCCTGTTCCTCCGAACCAAGGTACCCGAGCCAAGCCGGTCAAACGCCAAGCCGGGGCTCGAGGCTCGGGCTCTCAAGCCAAGCTGGTGAAGCGTCCGGGAAACTACCACGGCGGTTCGGCCCATGCCACGCCTGGCCACCACAACGGCAAACCCCGTCCCTCTGCCCACGTGGCAGCAAACCAGCACGCTGGTACGGCACGAGCCAAGCCAGCTCGAGCCAAACCAACCCGAGCCGTGGGAACAGGTACGGTGGCCGTGCCAGTGGCAAGGGCAGCGAAGCACAGCACCCTGATTGCACCGGCAGGGCAGGGGCAGGCACAGGGACAGGGTGCGGGGGGAGCGTCTGGGAGCGGAGGTGGGAGTTCCAGCAGCTCTGGTGGAGGAGTGGTTGCCACTCCAGGTGGCGGCAGTGGCGGCAGTGGTGGCACCGGTAGCACCGGCAGCACCGGTAGTGGTGGCAGCACCGGTAGTGGTGGCAGCACCGGTAGTGGTGGCAGCAGTGGAGGGGCAGTGAGCCCTCCGGACCCAGCAGCAGGGAATGAATCATATGATGATGCTGATGCCGATGATGGTGGTGCCAGTGGTGGCGGAGCTGCTGATGGTGATGCCGATGATGTTGGTGATGCTGAGGATGGTGGTGATGCTGCTGACGGTGATGCCAATGATGGTGGTGCCGGTGGTGGTGGTGCTGCTGACGGTGATGCCGATGATGGTGATGCCAGTGGTGGTGGTGCTGCTGACGGTGATGCCGATGATGGTGGTGCCGGTGGTGGAGCTGCTGACGGTGATGCAGATGATGCCACTCCTGTCGACCCCCCTGCTGATGGCGTCCCGATCCCCCCGGTCCTCCCACCCACCACACCTCCTCCCACAAACGCTCCTCCAAGCGCCCCTCCTCCTACCACCACACCTCCCACCACCCCTCCCCCCACTACCACTCCTCCTACCACCCCTCCCCCCTCCACCACTCCTCCAACCACCCCTCCCCCCACAACCACCCCTCCCCCCACAACCACCCCTCCCCCCACCACCACTCCTCCCACCACCCCTCCCCCCACAACCACCCCTCCCCCCACTACCACCCCTCCCACAATCCCTCCTCCCACCACCACTCCTCCTCCCACCACCGCTCACCACCTGCGCTGCGGCGTGGCCCCAGGCTCACTCCTCAACGCACTCAACTGGGCGTGTGGGCCCGGCGGCGCCGACTGCTCCTCCATCCAGCCGGGCGGGGCGTGCTTCCAGCCGGGCAACCTCGCCCTGCACGCGTCAGTGGCCTTCAACTCCATCTTCCACTCCCACGCGCACCGCCCCGGCTCCTGCTTCTTCGGAGGCAATGCCGTGGTGGTTCCACATGTGCCCGACTACGCTGCCGGCCCGGCCGCCTGCACCTTCCCGTCGTCCAACGGCCAGTTCTGCGTTGCTGCCTGCCAGGAGATCCCTGACCCCTACTCTCCCCCTCCGGGCCTCGTTCACCCCGTATACCCCCAATACTCCCCCGAGCCGGATTACCCCCCCAGAGGTGTCGTGGCGCCGGGCGGAGGCGGTAGGGGTGGCTGCGCGGCAGACATGGGGGCGGTGCAGAGGGCGCTGGACTGGGCGTGTGGGCCGGGCGGGGTGGACTGCTCTCCCATACTGCCGGGAGGGGCGTGCTGGCAGGGAGATGGTGCGCTGGTACAGCATGCGTCTCACGCCTTCAATGCATACTTCTACCGTCACAACCACCAGCCTGGAACGTGCTTCTTTGGTGGTACTGCGGTGGTCGTCCCCCGCGTGCCTGACTATGCTGCTGGCCCGCCCGCCTGCACCTGGCCCTCGGGTAACAGCCAGTACTGCGTCGTGGGGTGCTGAGGAGTCAGGCAATGAAAGGTTGGGTGGTGCTGAGGTGGGACTGCTGTGGTGGTCTCCCCGTGAGCCTGACTATGCTGCTGCCCCGCGTGCATGCGACTGGCCCTCCGAGAATGGCCAGTACTGCGTCGTGGGGTGCTGAATAGGTTGGGGTGGAAGGCATTGAGCTGTGAGTGGACCTACTAGTTTGGATTGTAGTACGGTCACAGGAATGAGATGTGAGGTGGGATAAGAGTATAGAAAGGCTCTTTTTTCAGTGTGTGATTATTTTCTTTTCTTTTTATCCCTTGTCATCGTTGCATTGGACTGTATATTCATGTTTTCTACAGTAGATTTCCATGCTTCGGATACACTTCTTTTTGGGTGGTTAGACAGAGTGCCCATTCAATGTATTGGAAGCTTTGGGCTGTCTTCTCAGGGGGTTGCGCATTCTAGAACACTTACTATTCTTTCAACTCAAGTAAATGGGAGCGCTAGCAATGGGCCAAACATGAGAAAATCTGAAAGTGTTTTTTTTTTTTTTAATGATGCAGTTTATGTTTAAATTATCAGGCTCGCGTGGCTATTCGGTGAGATCCGAGTTTTTCGCAATAGCGAACCCAACACCCGCGAACCCCGCCAGACCACCTCCTTCCGTCCCCAAGACCCAAAGCCGAGTTTTGTGACTTGGTCATCCTGTTCGACTGCTGCCGCTGTCGTCGCGGGGCTAGTGTCGTTACAGGCAGACCTTGGCCAATTTTTTTTGCCCGATTCGTGAGTCCGCGTCTGAAACAAAAGAGTGCTGCGATTCGTCCCCGCGAATCGCGGAGGCAGGATGTATCGTGCCCGCGGCGGTGACCGTGGGCGGGGACGTGGGGGGAGAGCAGGAGGCGGTGGCGGGCGGGGCAAAGGCGGAAGGGGTCGCGCGGGGGGAGGAGGAGCCGGGCGGAAAAGACCTCGGAACGAGTTAATTGACGACGGGGAGCGGGAAGAGTCGTTTTTCGCGCGGGCGGAGGAGGCGGCGGAAGAGGACGCGGAGATCGGATCGGACGGGGAGGGGGAGAATGCGCGCTTGGCGGAGAGCGCGGAGGCGAAGCGCCTGCGCATTGCGCGGTCGTACCTGACGGAAGTGAAGCGAGCAGCGGCGCTGGCCGCGCGGGAGAAGGCGGACGAAGAGGCGGAAGAGGCGGAGGATAGAAGCGGGGAAGGGGAGAGCGAAGATGAGGAGGAGGCGGAGGAAGGGGATGGAGACGAGGAGGGGGAGGAGGAAGGGGACGAGGGTTTAAGGGAGGAGCAGGACGCGATAATAGCTGCCCGATTAAAGCAAGATGCGTTAGAAGAGAGCGGCAGGGTGATCCGGCGAATCGCAACCCGGTTCATCCCGTCTACGTCAGCATCGCCAGGGCAAACAGTGGGACGCAGACATAAGCAGTCGGTGACAGGTGTCGCGCTCTCATTGGACGACAGAACGGGCTTCGCGGTGTCAAAAGACGGGCTAATAGTGGGCTGGGACGTCGAGTCGGGAACCAGCTTTAAGTTTCCCTGGCCCGAAAACTCAAACCCCAACTCCCGGTCGGATGGGGGCGCGGGGGCAGGTGGTGGAGGCGGAGGCGGAGGGTGGAATAAAGGGAAGGGGAAGGGGGGGAAGAGCAGCCGGCACGTGCTGAGCGTGAGTGTGAGCGACGACGGGCGGTACCTGGCGGCGGGGGGGCTCGACCGCATGGTGCACCTGTGGGACGCGCGCACGCGCGCGCACGTCAAGGTGAGGGGCAGGGGATGGGGTTTAAGGGTGGGGGCTTATGTTTGGTGTGACAGCGAGTCAAGTGACAAGGTCACGGCAGATTATGTTCCAGGACGCATGAGTACTCAGTGGTGGGAGAGAGGGGGTAAGATCCCGTGGGGCAGCTGTGGCACCACATGCACGTCAAGGTCAGCGGCAGGTGGGGGCTTTTGTGTGGGGTTTAGGGATTATGGTTAGAGGTAGGTACATGAGAACTCAACGGCCGGGGCTGCCGCCGCATGGTGCGCCTGTGGAACACATGGAGCACAGCGCACGTTAAGGTGAGGGGCAAGGCTCGGGGTTCAGGGTTTGGGGCTAGGAACCTTTGAGTTGGGCTTGGGAACTTGGAAGACCCTTCGTGTGCGACCACAAGGGAGCAGTCATATTGCTTTCCTTCCTCACCCTCTCACTCTTTCCACCTCCCCTGTCTCCTTTCCTCTTCCCCCCACCCCCCTTCCCCCCCTTTCTCACCACTCCCCACCCGCGCTCCCCCCTCTCTCCTTCCCCTGCGCCAGTCGTTTGCGGGCCACAGGGGGGCGGTCATGTCTCTCGCCTTCCGGCCGGCATCGCTCGACCTTTTCTCCGCGTCCGCCGACCGCAGCATCAAGCTGTGGAGCTGCGCTGATGTGGCGTACATGGATTCGCTGTTCGGCCACCAGGCGGAGATAGTGGCGCTACAGGCGCTCAGGCAGCCACAGAGGGTCGTCTCTGTGGCGAGGGACCGTACCTGCAGGCTCTGGAAGGTGCGTGTGGGTGGGAAGAAGGAGAACGGGTGTATTCCTGGAGGAGGTGAGGTGCTTTCTGGTAAAACAGGCGCTCAGGCAGCCGCAGACCAGGGACCTTACCTGCCGGCTCTGGAAGGTTCGTGTGGGTGGGGAAGGGGTGGGGGGTATGTGCACAGCACACCAGGGGGGGATAGTGCGCTGCAGGCGCTCAGGCAGCCGCAGAGGTTCGTGTCGTGTCTGTTGCCAGGGACTGTCCTTGCAGGCTTTGGAAGGTGCGTTTGGGGGGCAATGCTTGGGGGAGGTGGTATCTGGTGAGACAGGTGCTGTTTGGCGGTCTCTGTGGTGAGTGACCATACCTGCCAGCTTTTGAAGGTTCATGTGGTTGGGGGGGAGGTATGCCTGGGGGAGGTGCGGCAGACGCTGAGGCAGCTGGTGCACAGGGTGGTGTTCGTGGCGATAGTCTGCATCTGCCGGCTATGGAAGGTGCATGTTGGTGGGCCATGCCCGGGGGAGGTGCTATCTGATGCAGGCCGTGGAAGGGGTGTGCAGGGGGAGTGGGGGGCAAGTGGGGTTGGGAGCCGTGGGACTCGGAGGCCACATTGTGCCCCGCTCTCACTGCTTCTGCTCTCTTGAGCTGCCCTTGTGTTCTTCCAACTGCACTAAGCACCCAATGGCAGGCAAGGGCAGGCAAGGCACTGAGGGATGCCCAGGTGCTGTGGGGTGCGCCTGCTCCTTCATGCCGCCCCCTTTTGCACTTCTCATTGCCTGCTTCCCCTCCTTCCCCTCCTCTCCCCCGGCCATCCCATGGCAGGTACCCGAGGAGGCGCAGCTGGTGTTGCGAGCGCCAGCGCCCTCGTGCCTGGACTCACTCATGCCCCTTCGTCTCCTCCGTCCGCCTTCAACACCAGCTGTTCCCCCTTTGCCTCCTCCTCCTCCTCTCTCTCTCTCCAATCCCACCACAGGTACATGAAGAAACGCACCTGGTTTTCCGAGCGCCGGCGCCCTCCTGTCCGGACTCGTGTGCCTTCCGCTTGTCCTTTACCTTCATCACTGGCGTCTCCCCCTCCCCCCCATCTCCCCCTCCCCCCCCATCTCTCCCTCCCCCCCATCTCCCCCTCCCCCCCCATCTCCTCCTCCCCCCCATCTCCTCCTCCCCCCCATCTCCTCCTCCCCCCTTCTCCCCCTCTCCCCATCCATCTCATGCCAGGTACCCGAGGAGACACAGCTGGTGTTCAGAGCACCGGCCCCTTCCTGTCTCGACTCGTGTGCCTTCCTCTCGCCCTCCGCGTTCATCACGGGGGGTGACGACGGGTCGCTGTCGCTCTGGTCCGCCCTCAAGAAGAAGCCCGTGCATGTCGTGCGGGCAGCGCATGGCACCACCACTGCTGCTGCTGCTGGTACACCTGCCACGTCTGCTGCTGCTGATGCCGCTCAAAATGGCCTGCCCAACGGTGTTGCTGCCCAACAACCAGCAGATGCAGCCCCTGACGCTGCACCATTTGCCTCCGCCGCCGCTGCTGCTGCTGCTGCTGCTGCTGCTGCTCCGTCTGTCTCAGCACCGGCAGCAGCAGCGAGTGCAGTGCAGTCGTGGGTGGGGGCTGTTGCCGTGGCGCCCGGCTCTGACCTGGCAGCCAGCGGGGCGGGCGACGGCATTCTCAGGCTGTGGCATTGCGACACGTCAGCGAACCGGCTGCGCCCCGTGGGATCACTTCCAACGGTGCGGTGCGGTGCATTGGCTGGCTGGACCGGCAATACCACCTCACGTCCACCCCTCACCCCTGTTCCTCACTTCAACCCTTCCCACGTTTCTCCCTTTTCTTTCCCTCTTGTCCTAAACCACACCCGTCCCTCGCCTTTCTCACTGTTTTTTCCCACTATCACTCATCTGAATCCATGATCTGCTGTTTGTGGCCTCAAGACATTCAACTGTTGTTCTTTTGCTCAAGCTCTGTTACAACCCTCTACCTCCACCACTCACTCTACATGTGCCCTTCCTTCCAGGTTGGCTTTGTTAACTCTATTGCATTTGCTCATCGATCGGATTTCGTCATCTCAGGCATTGGCCAGGTTAGTCACCTCAAAATCGCTTGCATTTTGCTAGGATTGATTTTCTCACTCGCACTGAGCGTTGTGCTTGTTGTTCATCGTCTCTCATCCACTCCCTGTCTATTTATGTTTATGTGTTATCCCCACTTTCCCTCTCTTTCATTCTTTGGCGTCATGCTATCATTGCTCTTGCTCACTCCCATTATCCCGTATGGCACATGCACATGCACACACATTCTATTATGTCCGCAGGAGCCACGACTGGGTAGGTGGGGAAGAAATGCAGCTGCTAGAAATGGGGTGGTTTTGCACCGACTAGAGTTCGAATCTGAGTAAAAAAGAGTAATTACACTAATTAATGGGATGGGAGCCGTCTTTGAGGATAGTGATATGATAAATTGTGCTCTCAATTTTTTGTATCAGCTTTGATTAGAATTTGAACGTTTGCGTGGCGATCCATCCAAACGAATCCG